CTCGCAAGCCAATGGAGGTATGTTCCTGTGTGACCACAATTCTTCCAACATAAAGGGCCTTGTGTTGAGTTTATTTTATTTAGTCGTTCTGGGGTATAGTACCATTTGTAGTGGTTAAGTGCGTGGACTCTAATCTGGGAGAACCAGGTTTGATTCCCCACTCCTCCACTTGCACCTGGCTGGATGACCTTGGGCAAGCCATAACTCTGGCACAGCTGTTCTTGAAAAAGAGCAGTTTCTGTCAAGAGTTCTCTCAGCCCCACCGACCTCACAGGGTGTCTGTTGTGGGGAGGGGAAGGGAAAGGAGTTTGTAAACCACTCTGAGACACCTTTGGGTAGTGAAGGGCGGGGTATAAATCCAATCTCCTCCTCCTCCTCCTCCTCCTCCTCAAAAAATCGCTACTCGTCCTCCTCCTCCTCCTCCTCCTCCTCCTCTTCTTCTTCTTCTTCGGACATCAGTTTGAAAAATTGTTAACGGATGTAATACTAAGAGTAGAACAGCTATCTGCACTCCCCTCTGAGTGGTATTATAGATTACCATCAGAAGATCAGAGAAGACTGAAGCTCTAGTTTGTATAGACTATGGTGATCAGATGTACAATGATCACATTCTTGAAATACGTACAGTGCAAACATGCCTTAAAAGCAGGGCTTTTTTTGTAGAAAAAGCCCAGCAGGAACTCATTAGCATAATAGGCCACACCCAACAACAGAAACTCATTAGCATATCCAGCCACACCCATGAGAGCATAGCTCATTAGCATATTAGGCCACACACCCATGTTACCAGAAGTATAGTCATTCAGCCACACCCACCTTGTGCTTCTTATTCCGTTTACCTTGTTTGTTGTCAACACCCAGAGCTTTTTTTTGTAGCAGGAACTCCTTTGCATGTTAGGCCACACCCCTAATGCAGCCAATCCTCATGAGTTTCTGCTGTTGGGTGTGGCCTATTATGCTAATGAGTTCCTGCTGGGCGTGGCCAACTTGGGGCCAGCCGGAACTCCGTTCCTGTGCGTTCCTGCCCCAAAATAGCCCTGCTTAACAGTATGCCTGTTACATGGTTCACTTGCTAGAATATGTGTGGTTTTGCTTTTCTGTCTTTGCTTCTTCCTATTCTTCCGTATCTCACAGACATTGTTTTTTTTTCTTTTTCACTGCTGTCACACATGCATCAAAATTAAGCCAAAGGTCTGGATTTTTTCTCGGGATTTGTAATAAGAATTTGTTTCTTGGTCACCTTCCTGTGACCTTTTAAAAGTTTATTGTCTTGCCAGAATTGCAAAGTTTCGCATTTATGTGAAAGTGGAATGATTGTGACAACTTTCAAAGTACCAAATTATCATCATGATGGTCACAATAATTACAGTTAGGGATGTAGATTTAGAGACCTACAATCTGAAACCTAAAATCTAGTGACTTGGCAAATCTGCTTACAGTAGGAAAATTGGGGTAGCAATGTTAAATTGATTAATTAGTTATAATCAATAGAAGGTTATATATTTTTAAATTACCATATGAGTATTTATAAAAACTGCAAGTGATAAGCACGTCTTAAAAGAAGCATCCCTCATATACAAGAAGGACTGTCTCTTCTAAGAGAATTTCTGCTTTAACACTCATGAGCATTGAAGAAGAGGAAGAAGAGGAGGAGGAGGAGATTGGATTTAGAAACAGCTTAGAAACTCCTTTCCCTTCCCCTCCCCACAACAGACACCCTGTGAGGTAGGTGGGGCTGAGAGAGTTCTTTCAAGGACAGCTCTGACAGAACTATGGCTTGCCCAAGGTCACCCAGCAGCTGCATGTGAAGTGGGGAATCAAACCCGGTTCTCCCATATTAGAGTCCACACACTTAACCATTACACCAAACTCACTTTTTGCTTCAGGACAGATTTGTTTTCTGTGCAGAGATGTATGCAAATATAACATATTGATTTGTTGACTAAAAATAAAAGGTTGGGTTTTCAGAATTTTCCCATTAACTGGTGTTTTTCTCCTATGCAGGGAAACATGCACCAACTTAGAGCTGAAGGATCCTTGTGCTGGAGGAAAATACCCTCATTAACTGAAAACATCCAAGCCATTAGGATTCCTCAACTAAGGCCTCGGCCACACGGGCAGGAAAAGGCGGGGGGGGGGAGACGTGGCTGTTTGCCCCGGAGCAAACTAATGCGCGACTGCGCGATCAGGCGTCGAGTTGAGGTCCCGTCGAGCCCCCGTGGTTAGGGGGGAGGTGCCGATCACACGACGTGGCAAAGAAGTGGAGCGGCGCGGCAAACGGGGTTGTGGTTTTTTTAAAAAACTGAAATGTGTGCATGCTTCGTTGGGTGCTTGTGTGCATCCGTGGAGACTTGGGGGAAAAAAACCATTTTGCGAGGGGACATGGGCGGGCGCCAGAACTACCACCGGAAACGCGATCAGACGCCTGCCCTTGCCCCGCATTTTTCGGAAACTAGTACCTCTGAGGTACTAGTTTTTTACCCCGCATCTTCGGCGGGAAGCCTCGGGTGCGCCACGGGAGCTCTACGCTTCCCAAATGTGGCAGTGAGATCGCGCCCAGAAAATCCGCCTATCTTCTGTCTCTCTAGCGTGCCTAATGCTCCGTGTGACTGGGGCCTTTGATCAATCTTTAATCATATAATGGTCCTTGAAAAACACACATACTTTTGGGTGACCTGCAAATGCACATTACTTTTTGCACCAGAAGGGACAAACTGGATATTTAAGTAGACAAGGACATACATTCAAGGGCTTAATTAAGGCAGCAGCCCTTATTGCAGCTCTTCCCTTGGATCAAGGAAGAGCCCCTGCTCAGTGGTACATGCTGTACATATAGAAGACTCCCAAATTCAGTAATTTGCATCTCTGCTGAAAAGACCTCAGGTGCAGGGAAAGACTTTTTTCTGCTGGAAGCCTTGGAGATCTGCTGTCTTTCAAAGTAAACTGTACTGAGTAAGATGTGTCATGGTCTGTCTCAGTTTTAAAAACTTGGTATGGTCAACCCCCATGAAGAAGAGAAGAAGAGAGATTGGATTTTTACCCCGCTCTTCAATACCCAAAGGTGTCTCAGAGCAGCTTACAAACTCCTTTCCCTTCCCCTCCCCACAACAGGCACCCTGTGAGGTAGGTGGGGCTGAGAGAGCTCTTCACAGAAACTGCTCTTTTTTCAAGAACAGCTCTTATCAGAACTATGGCTTGCCCAAGGTCATCCAGCCAGGTGCAAGTGGAGGAGTGGGGAATCAAACCCGGTTCTCCCAGGTTAGAGTCCGTGCACTTAACCACTGCACCAAACTGGCTCTCACAAATCCTTAAAAAGAACCTTATCTGTAGTACATGCCTCAGATGTCAGCTGCAGTTTCTCAGACTCCCAACACGTTCAGCTAATGCACAATCAATGTAATATCTTTGGCCTCAGGGATTGTGTCCCCCCACCTGCGAACAGTCCTGTATTGTTGGATATTTGAGGAAGAAGGAACCTCCGTGGGCCAGCTTCAGTCTAGATGCTTTAAGGCACTCTTGTGTATGACTGGAACAATAATAATGGAATAATGTATTTGAAACCAGGACCATGCTCAACATTTATACAGGAACAGGTAATTAGTATTTCATCCATCCACTGTTTGTTTCCTATGTGCTCATCAGGTAGGCTTAGGCTTTGATTAATTTGCAACTGTGTCTGTATTGCATGTTTATATGTTAAGGAAGATTAATCCAGTTCTCCCTTATTTTCCATGCTGTCCTTTGGTTATGACACCAGGGGAGGTGTGTGCTAGACTACACATTTCTTTTCATCTGTATTTTATTTTCTGATTCTTTCCCACAGGTTGGTAAGGTAACAGCTGACTTTTCACAAGATGAATCCATGACCCTGTTCTTCCCAGCCACATTTGGGTGTCAAGGAAGGTGCCAAGGAACTAATATTATCAAGATTTACATCCTCCACTTGGCAGAACAAGGCATTTTTAGGAACTGGGAAAGGCCAGCCCCCACAAGCTGCCAAACATATCGTGCATAATTTCTGTCCAACTGTTATTAGAGTACAAGAGTAACTAGATGAAGGGGGGGGGGAGATATGAAGAAATGGTGGGCGGAGAAAGAAGAAATGGTGGGCGGAGAAAGTGAATGGGAGAAGAGGGAAAAGGTAAAAATGAGTGGTAAGGGTTGTAAATTACAGGCTGAAAGAAGAATGGAGAGGATGCAAGAGAAAAGGGTACGGAGGAAGAAACAAGGGAATGGGAGTCAAGGGAGAAGAAGGCTGAAAAAGAAGATGGATATCTGAGGGGGCACAGTAGAGAGAAAGTGAAAGGGAAATGCTGCAGAGCAGGAAGTGGAAAAGAGAATGAGTGCCTACAGGCTACCTGAGGCCGGTGGAAGAAACGGAAAGCAAGCAAAGGTGAGAGGAGAAAAGAGCAGAAGAAGGCAAGGAAATGAGAATAGGAGAGTGCAAAAACCACTGTGAGAAAAAGCTGGGGGGGGGGGGAGAAGAGGAAGCAGAGGAGTGATGGGAGAAGGAGAGGGAACGGGAGGGAAAGCGAATCAGGGAGGGACAACGGCAGCAGCAAAGGAGGGAAGGAAGGCGGTGTGCTGAGGGAAGAGCCCCGCTTGACGCAGCAGGAGCTACCCCATCCCAGCCTGGTCAGCCCACCACAGGCGCTCCTCCTCAGCTTCTGGTGCGCGCCACAGCCGCGCGCGCCCGGCTCGAGCGTAGCGGCGGCCCCCTTTAGGCGGGGACTGGAGCTGCCTTTGGGAAGGAAGGGAAAAGAAGGAGCTTGGACAGTGAGGAGAGCAGCCGCCGCCGCCTCCTCCTCCTCCGCCTCGGCAGCATGATGTTCGCCCAGCAACAGCAGCGGGAGCCGCCGCCGCCACCCCCTCGAGGCTGAGTCGCCTGCCGCCGAGTGAGGCGGGCGCTGGGTCACTCCTTCTTTGCTTTCTTCTGACCTCCCGGCGAGGCGGGCCGAGGCAGCCCGGCTGGTCGCCGGCCCCCTTCAGGACTGCGGTGCATGTTCTCTCCCTGTGAGTGCGTGAGGCGAGGCGGCAGGAGGACTATGAAAATGATCCGGTTCCGGAGCTCGAGCATCAGGTCTTTGAGCCAGGAGATGAAATGCACCATCCGATTGCTGGACGACTCCGAGATCTCCTGCCACATCCAGGTGCGTCCATCCAGCCGGGTGGCGGAGCATCGCCTAGCTAGGCGTTGCTTCCCTTTGATAGTAACCCCCCCCCCCTTGCAAAAAAAGAAAGAAAAAAGAAATGTCGTGATGTATCGAACCGAGTACTTTGCAGAAAGGATGCTGCCTGCTTGGCGGGCCCCAATCCCCGCCAACGTGCTTCTTGTGCATGCATTGGTATCCCTGCTGTATTTGTGCCAGCCCTTTACCCTCCTGCCGTGCCCATCTGCCCATCTTTCTCATACGCATGCACACACATTCTGCCCGGTGCGCTCACTGTTGTGAGAAGTTGTTTACAGGCAAAGAGTGAATCTAGGCAAGGTTGGATGGTTACCACAAGGGGTATGTGTATATGGGTGTTGAAAGCTGATGCAGAGCTTGCAAGGGGAAGAATGGATCAAGCAGACTGTATTGGGGATGTGCTGGAAACCAAGAAAGTTCACTAAAATGGCCTAGCGCAACAAATGCACAGTCGCTGCACATTAATTGTGTGAGATCTAGATGGCTTTCTTCAAAAAAGCCCTTCAGTGTTACAGATATCACATTTTCTCAGAGCTCAAATGGCAAGATATTGTTGCTAGGAAAATGGGATTATTTCTTAGCTAGGGGAGCCATTGTGAATTGGAATAGAGTCTAAAATGTGGTTCTGTGTGGTACAGGACTCTATTGGTTAGTGCCTGTGTTGAGATAATTGATACTAGAGAAAACTTTCTTTCTGCAGGCCCGCAATTACTGTTGTTTCTTTCCTTTCATAAAATATGGAGCTTTCATATATCAAAACTGGATTATATTCCATCCTAGACAGTATGAGTTATTTGGAGTGGCAAATCAACCTATGGACAACCTATGGATAGCTAGGCTTTTATTTTAAGACAAATGTTTCTATTCCGTGTAATAGAAGTACATGAACACTTAGCCATTTAACATTGAAAAGGGTGGAAAGTTAAACACCACAGACTAAAGTGTTCTTCTAAACATTCAAATAAAGTCAAATTGGGCAACTGTTGAAAACAAGCTACAAGCTTACTGTAAATAATGATAGACCCATTTTCACTGATTTTGTGGAACAATGTGAGATCCTGCTATGGCAGGTAGGATCCCAAGGGTCTGGTGGAGTGCTTGAAATGAAGGGGGCTTATATATTTCCTAGGCTTTTTGTGCCACTGACCTCGCCCAGCTGTGTTGAACGTTTGGGTGATTGTCTTGCTGCCCAGAAGGCTTTAGGAAGATTCTCAATATCCCCATATAGTATAATTTTTAGTACAGTCATTTGTCTCACCTTTCTTACTTGTATTTACATTTTGCATAATTATGTTTATTGAGAAGGTTGACAGCGTTATGCGCAGCCCTTCCACCTGCCTGTTATTTTTGCTATCTTGGACCAGTACTCTATCCAGCGTCTGAACAAGGAGTTAGAGCACCCTCTGGCAGCATCATTGCAGCTCTTACTTGTTTTTCTAACTGAATATTTACATTGTGTGGTTTAAATAAAGTATATAATTAGAATTGTCAACCAATCAAAGATTTTATAGTTGATGAATAATATGTCACTTCACACAGTAACTGATTAATTAATGGATTAAATTTTAAATAAATGTTCATATTATCCATGCCATTATAGTATTGAAGGAGGTGCAATTAACAAAAGCTATCACACATTGTTCTCAAGAAAGGCTATCTTTAATATCTTAATATTAGTTTTCTCTTACAGTAATGCACAATAACAAAAATATCTTGAGCAAGTAAATAATTCACTTATTAATACCAATCAATCAACAAAAGATATTGTCGATCCATTTGCCAGTTAAATGGCCAAAGCTTTCAGTTTGGGAAATAATGTGTATTAAATGTATACTCTCTTAAGAGTATTTGGTAGGCTGCCATCATGTTTAAATACTTCGGGCAATAAAATTAAGGATCTGGTAAGGTTTCTATTTTTGTTTTTAACTGCCAAGAATTTTGTTTTAGTATATTGAGATGTTAACAAACCCCAGTGATTTTTGTCTTGAGGGTTTGTAGTAAACTTCAAGAAATATAGGTTGTATTTTATTTCCCAAGTGGGGCAAAGGAGCAGAACTTCACTGAACCAGCATTTACTTCACAGAAGCTTTTGACTGTGTAGTTCTTTCTGTATGATGGCATCAAGAAACGGCTTTACCTGTCTTGAGAAAACTTTCATTTAATGGATGCGTGTTACAGAAGTGTTTTGTTATATCTCGAAAGGAAATGCACATAGAAGAATTAAGTAGATTTGCTCATATATAGATCATTGATTATGTTCAATAAGTAGAATGCATCTATGATAATGTTTAAGGCTGTTACAAGAAGTAGACGGTTAAAACAGAACAAATACATTTATGCTACTGAGGAAAATCATTTGAAATAAATGGTTATTCTTTGACTGGTCCCAGAAATTATGAAATGCCAAACAGGTAAAGCATGCAGTAGATATGTTATTCTAACTTTTCTTCATGGAAGTATATGTTAATGTCTAAATTACACAGAGTTTTTACTGGGAAAAATAGAAATAATCTGAATTTATAGATGACAACTCTAGTTATAGGTATTTATAGTAATTTTGTACACAAAAAAACCTTAGGAGGGATACTAGCTTTATTGCAAAACCATATGGCATGACCCTGCTCTGTGCTGGTGAAGCAGGGGGCATTGTGAGGTTCTCTCATCACTGCCTGGTAGTTAAGGAGCCTCTGCTAACTCAGTTAGGCTGGCCAGCTCTGGGTCTGGAAATACCTGGTGATTTGAGGGTGAAGCTTGGAACAGTGTGTGCGGGGGGTTATAGGGAAAGGAGGAAGCTCGGTAGGGTATGATGATGCCATTCAGTCAACCTTCCAAAGCAGCTGTTTTCTCCAGGAGAAGTGAAATAAATGTTTTAAATAAATAAGTAATAAAGTGATTTATGTAGGCTGGCAACACCTGGAGGCTGGCAACACCAAGCTTAGTAGACACCGCAAGGTGAACTGGCCCACAGTGTTGAGGCAAGCAGGTCAAGATATCTCCTCCCTTCCATCACCCCACATGTTCTTATAAGTGGACAGTAGTCCTTGATCCTCTTCAGTACTGATCAGCCATGGAGACCTAGCAATTGCCCTCTCCTCACAAACCAAATACCAGTAATTTGAACTGTCATGCTCGTGCTGTGTGTCCTTGCCTTGCTATGACAAGCCTGCCCTGACATGGTGATATATACATATGGTGTGGTAGCAGGTGTGCTTCTACATTTCTCAACACTTAGGGCTAGATTAAGGTACACATGCATCATACTTGATGTGCCTCCTGGTGCATCCATTATATGCACCAAGTACTGTGCAAATCATGCTCATAGTTTTGTGAAATCTGCAGTAATCTAATGGAAGAGAGTGTAAATGTGATCTCCAAACAATTTGCATCACTTTTACTCAATTTTAAACCAAGTCAAAACTGCTTAAATTCAGACTGGATTATAAGAAAACTTTGCATCACTGTCCTGTGGTTGCTTTACATATTATTTTCTCTCTCTCTGAGCATGCGTACATACTTTTTACATGTTATTTGTGTTTACTTATACTCATGCTGCATAACAACAGCAGCACACCAAAGTTTGTGTTCTCTTTATTAGAATATTCAGGAATTGTGTAGTTAGTATAAGTTCTGATGCCTCTAGGAAATATTGTTACAGGTAATTTTGTGGTGGGATTGGACTTTTCAGCTGCCTGATATAACGGTTGTCTACCAAGCACAAACCTTGGGTGGTATGCCTTTAAGCTTGCATCACATGACCAACATTTGAAGGAACTATTGGATATTGCATCTGCATGAAGGCTGTTCTATTCAGTGAGCCACTGTTCTTAGTGGTTCATGATACAAATCATCTGCCATCTGTGCCAGTGATACTGCAGAACATTCCTGTTGGTGTTTTGCGCAGTGTGGAGAAGACTTCATGATAACAGCTGATCCTTATGTCAGTTGTATTATATAAACAGCCTCCATCCAGATGCAATTTCATGCATTCTCCATGTTGCTCTTTTATTTGTATGAAATAGACCTCACTTTGTACTGGGTTGTGTTTATCTCCTTCTTGGTGCTGAATGAGATGGAAACCCCAAATATTTCTGTACTGTCAGTGATTCAATGATGGAAGGTTATTCAAGCATCCAAGACCATTCACGTTCCTCATATTCACGTTCCATTGGCCTTCATGGAGTCATTTTATGCTCCTTCATAATATTCTGTATTAGAGGGATATGCTTGTGGAAGTCCTTATTCTTACATTTCTAGACTAGGAGTAAGGTTCGTTGTGGGAAGAAATACAACGAGATCTAGAAAGAAGCTCCAGGTGAATGTCTCGACTGTGGCTGGTGGGGCAGCAGAGGGAAGGGAAAAACAGAGGGAGGCAAGCCATGTTTATTTCCTTCTGCTTAGCTATAAAGCAAGGCTGTCTCAAGTCATTTTGCTGCTGCAAATGGGTAGTATGGGAGGAGAGCCACAAGGTAACAGGTGTGGTTCCCTCCACCCCTGACTTACGTTGATTTGGGGATATGTAGTGGCAGGTAAGGTAGAAAAGCACCTCCTCCTATGCTATGTTTTCTGGGTTCCAAGGGTCTGGAAAGTGGTTCCATAGCCAATTACACGGTTGTCAACTCTGGGTTGGGAAATACCTGTAGATTTTAGGGGTAGAGCCTGGGGAGGGCAGGGTTTGGGGTGGGGAGGGGCCTCAGCAGGGTATAATGCCATAGAGTCCACTGCCCAAAGCAGCCTTTTTCTCCAGGAGAACTGCTCTTGGTCATCTGGAGATCAGGTGTAATAGGTGGTAAATCAAATTCTTTGCTGATTGTGCTGTGCAGCATCATGGACTGATGTGTTCACCGCTAAGAGAGTCAATGAATATGGAACTTGCCTCAAGCTTTTCAGAACATCAAGAAACAGGAGGGAGTTTCTCTGAGACAGTGTATGTAAAACAGTAGTTCTTTAATAATGGAATTCTG